TTATATTGATAAAGCAATCATGCATGCTTTTCTTCTGTGTATCACGGTTTCCCCACTCTCAAGACAAATGGGGTGTCAAAATGATATTTTTTCCCCACACTTCTGCGCTCTGCTGTGAGGAGGATGTGGGCTCCAAATGGAGGGTCAGGACAGTTTTGTGTAGGAGACAAGTCACGACTCGGGATTAGAGATTCAGAAAGTGTAGCTGCTCAGTGACAATTAACACAAAGCAGGTAGAAACTCAATAATAAACTTAGTATCTTATAAAATCTGCTTTTTTCTAAATGTATAGCAAACGGCGTTACCAGACAAAAGCTAACCGACTAAAGTTAAACTTTGGAAATCTGTTCTGTCTCGTGACAAAATTTCTTGGTACAATCTCATACAGTTGTAAAGAGAACAGAGTGAAAATAGAATTAGCGTGTTAATTCTTGAGTTCATCCTTGAGTCCAAGTGAATGTTTGTGCCAAATTTGAGGAAATTCTCTCAAAGCTTTCTTGAGATACTGCATTCACAAGAATGAGACAGACTCGAGATCACTGTGACCTTGACCTTTGACCACCAAAATCTAGTCATTTCATCGCTGAGTTCAAGTAGACATTTGTGCCAAATTTGTGAAATTCCCTTAAGGCTTTTTGGAGATACTGCGTTTATAAAAATAAGACGGACTCAAGGACTGATTAGATTTTGGTGGTCAAAGGTTAAGGTCTCTATGACTTTTGTCTAAGTGTGTGTTGTGCCAAATTTGAAGACATTCCCTCAAGGCGTTCTTGAGATATTGTGTTTACGAGAATGAAACAGACATGAGGTCACAGTGACCCTGACCTTGGATCTGACCGCAAATATCTAATACGTTCGTCGTTGAGTTCGAGTGGATGTTTGTGCCAAATCTGAGGAAATTCTCTCAAAGCAACCATGGGCCACAGATGGATGGGAGGCCACAGTGACCTTTGACCACCAAGTCTTATCAATTCACGGTTGAGTTCAAGTGGGCGTTTGTGCCAGATTTGAAGAAATTCCCTCACGGCATTCTTGAGATAAATCTATCCATGAAAATAGGATGGTTTGACATACGGATGGAGGGAGACCTTGAAAAGATATTGCGTCGGTAACAACAAAATCCAAGGAAAAATGTAGTTACGACACTCTGCCTTGGATTCCTGAAGATCTGGGATTCTATTGGGCCAAGGAACACCGCAATAAGCACATTATGCCGAACGGTGAAGAATGATGGTGTTGCCACGACAAAATAACCGATAATGTGATCATGACCATAGCAAGATCTGTGACGGTTCCTCACAATTTTCTACTTTAAAAACTATAAATGACACAAATATATTCTGAATCTCGTGAAAAGTGAAAAGTTTTCCCGAAAAACGATAAAACACTAAAATTGTGGTTACTTGTGCATTTTTGGGGTCACTGTTTTTAATCATAAAAATTATTCCATAATTACCGAATTCTTACGTTCATTTCCAATCTTGGCTGGACAGTCAAAAACAGTGTTGGCGTAGTTTGCAACATAAACACAACTCTGAAACATCTCCAATGCCTCCATTTTTTTTTTATTAATTCTTCTACAGTATACAAATATTCACACACAAAATGTTCTCAAAAAACCCCTAATGTCTCGTAAACATTCAGATTTCCTCGTCTTGCAGTTCTGTCTTTCGTTTCCTTCATTGTGTGCTGTACTGCCACAGACTTCTAAATATAGACTTTTTTCTTTAAAAACAGAGGCCACTGGATCCTCGCATCGTCCTGTCGCCCAGACACACCTCGTACACGGCAGCATCGCCCCCTGACACTTCATCGTGTAGTCACATGACCCCTTGTCTCATGTTAAACTGCAGCAGTGACAGCCAGGTCCAGGATGAAGGGAAGAAGGCAGAAATCACAGTGTGAAGCAGGAGCTCTTGACATCAGTGCGCTCGGTGCGGGCCCAGAGGTGAGGAACAGGAACGGGACCGTATTGCGTGGGTCGGCTTCGAGCTTAGTGTGTGTGTGTGTNGGGGGGGGGGGGGGGGGGGGGGGGGGGGGGGGGGGGGGGGGGGGGGGGGGGGGGGGGGGGGGGGGGGGGGGGGGGGGGGGGGGGGGGGGGGGCAGGGCAGGTGTTGGTGTATTGATCAGATCTGGATCAAATAGTTCCTTTGATGAACAGATAATCCTTAGTGTTTGTCTTTAAAAACAAAAAGCCTGGAAACAAAGATGGGAGAGGCCACGTCGTCACAGTAGAGACAGTCCTCCTGGCACTCCAACCACAAAAAGAATTATTTGCACAGACAATTTGACCAAAATCTGGTAGTGACACCAAACTTTTTTAAGGGGGGAGGGTATTTAAGACAAAGAATGTAAATGGTATGTTGGTATGGCTACAGGACACAGTTAATCAAGTATTAAGGGACAGTAAGATTACAGGGAAAATGACTGGTGCGGGTTAAATCTGCATATTCATTAAACTTCGTTTCATACAGTAGGAACCCCCACCAATATAAATCTATTTAAAAACATCTATAAGAACATAATCATGTGAAAACAAAGTATATATATATATATATATTTATATATATTGAGACAAACATAAGTAACAGCATTGAAGATGCGTCACGTAATTTTGGCTCTGGCATTAAGTGTTGCATTTCCACTGCTGCTGCCCATGCATGTCTCTCATCTCTATATCTTTATTCAATATGTACTCCGCAAGCAGCGGCTCTTTCCCAAAATACCAGGAAAGCAGTAGTGCAACAAACTTTTAGCAGGATTTTTTTTTTTTTCCCCCAAAGGAAATTCATCAAGTATGCGAGTTTAGGACTCAAACACGCAAGATGCAATCCATAATTTGAACGGGGAGAAGTTAGGGTGCTTTAGAAAGATTTTTTTTTCCCCCACAAAATGATTATTTGTAGTTACTCACCCAGTGTTACGTTAATTTCATGAGAACAAATTTGTTTTTCTCGCATGTCTCCACAGTGGGCGAAGAATCCAAAAACTGAGAAAATTCTTGATGTATTGAAGTCATGTGGGTCCATGTTTAACAACAGCAAAACTACATCAAAACATCTGCTTACAAACTCTTGCATGACTCGAGCAGTATAATCCAAGTCTCATTTATCCAGTCATATGCTCAGTACTGCCCAAACACACTTTTCTTTCTGACAGGGAACTGAACTGAAAGCGAAATTTATCGATGCTCTCTTCAAAGCCAGACTCCATTGACAAAAACAGCAGTTCTACTTTGCTGATAACGGGAGCTACTGGTCTACCTCTGCTTTGTAATGTAGTTCCAAATACTGGTCTATCGACACATTTTAATTCTGAATATTTCAAACAGTTTTAATACTCATCTTGCGCAGTATCAATACACCATTATCCATTATCTATGATGTTGTGTTCACACCGGGCGCAAAAAAGAAAAAAAAAAACGTTTATTGTTATGTGGTGGGGACTGCAATAAAGCCACCGTTGGTGAACAACACCCAACGCCTCGCTGTCCTTCCTTCTGCAGAGTGGTCCGAACCGCTAGAAGCTAGTTACCAGCTAATAACGAGACAAGCTAATTCAATGTCAGGGAGCCAGCGTGTTCCCAACTACAGTTCAGAGCCGGTAAGCTGTCACTGAGAGGTAACAGTTCGATGCAATGGATGCGACGCAAATGATGCGAATGAAGCAAGTAGCGCAATTTTGTGTCATACGCTTATTCGCTAGAGTTGAAAAATCTTAACTTCAGTGACCAATTTAAGCCATGAGAGCCAACAGCATTGAGATCCTGCAGGGACGTTAGTCGCCAAGGACGTCATACGGCAGAAGATTATTCATCGATTCAGGGATCCCAAGTGCATATGACGCAAGTCAACACAAAATATTCTAGCGTTCAAACTCACGGGAGTAACGTAACGCAAAAACTCGCATCATGTCATTCCGTTTTCTGCTACTAACCACGAAAGGTCGTTGTTGTCGTGTTATAGCATTGTTGCATTTTCTCTTTTAATAAAAAAAATTTAATTTCCTACTGTCAATATCAATTTTTCATCATGGTATTGAAAATAGCATTGAATATAGATATTTTATGCGCCTTCATCTCCTCACAACTGCCTCTATTCTTGCCTGAATCAAAAACGTATCAATCGACACTAGGCTGTTTAGAATTCAGACTTTTAGCCTCTTAAGATTTTACTGATTACTTTAAGGCTCTCATGATCTCTGTCTCAACCCTATCTTTGACTTCTTCGTACCGTACACGCCAGGACGTACTTTGACGTCCTTGGGCAGCAGAGGTCTTTTGTCTGTTCCAGAGGCTCGGCTGAAATCTAAAGGGGACAGAGCGTTTGCTGTCAGGGCCCCGAGGCTCTGGAACAATCTGCCCGAGGAAATCAGGTCGGTCAAGTCAGTGATCGCTTTGAAGTTCTTTCTTAAAACATACTTTTATCGGAAAGCCTTTCCTGATTTTACTTGAGTTTTAAGTTCATTTAGATTTTTATTTTCTCTGTTTTGAAAAGCGCTTTATAAATAAAGATTATTTTTATACCTATTTTTAAGGGACTGTATCAAAGTTAGAAACCTCAGTATCGTTAAAACACTGCTGCCTCAATCGGTTACTTTATTTGTGTGATTTTGTTGTTTTAAAGGATTAGTTTGGATTCACCAAAGTCACACAGTAACGCAATCGAATAAACTGATCGAGGCAGCAGTAGACCAGCAGCTCTCATGTTCAGTGAGGTAAAATTACTGTTTTTGTCAGTGGAGTTTGGCTTTGAAGAGAGCACAGATAAGATTCACTTCCTGTTCAGTAGCCTGTCCGGACGAGCTGCGTACTTGGGACGTCCTGACCATACGACTGATAAATGAGACTTGAGATTACGCCGTACGAGTTGTGTGAGAGTTTGTAAACAGATTTTTTGATGTAGTTTTGCTGTTGTGAAACATGGACCCCTATGACTTTAATTCATCAAGAATTTTCTCCGTTTTTGGATTCTTCGTTCACCGTGGAGGCATGCGGGAAAACAAAAGGTTTCTTCACAAATTCAACGTAACACAGGCTGAGTAACTGACACACAAATTATCATTTGAGGGTGAAGTGTTCCTTTAAAAAAAATCGTACAAGCTGTTTTTTGTGTGGTGATACTGTCACTACTGAAAGTGTGATTTCAATACTTCCAGTGCAAACAGCAAACATTATTCTGTACTACATGTACACATTTATGGACTGCACCTTTAGACCTTTACACATGGTGACTTTTTGGTTCGAACCAAAATGAACAGAAGACTGTGAACAGGTCATGTGTTCTGGCTAAGTGGATGACCTATCATGACCTCTGACCTTTTATTGACTTTTCCTTGACATGTGCAGGTTTCCCTGTGAGGCTATGAGTGAACTAAATAAAAAGGCATTATTGAAAAATAAGGCTACCAGTCCGAGGCGTTTAAAGGCACCCAGACTGAGCTACATTCCATCTTTGATGACCAAAAGAAGAAATAATGAGAGATAATGAAATATTTTAGCTTTCAGTGATGTCCTTTTTTTTTAGTATTAGGGCTAAAACAACTCTTTATTTTATTTCTCTTGCTCACACACTATCTCACTCTGCAAGTTTTATTTTTTCTTCTTAAATAAGCTTTTGATTTTAGAGGAGGAGCGCTTGATTTTCTCTCCATTGTCGCTGGAGTCCTGGGAGGAGGTGCTCAGGAGCTTGTGTTCCCTCCCCACGCTCCGGCCCTCCGAGTCCAGGGAGGTAAGAGACGGGTAACGCCCCACGTTGGGCAGCATGCTCGCGGGCAGCTGGCTGAAGCTGTAGGACTTCTCCAGGATGCCGTTGTACACGCCCTTGCCTGTCGGAGAGGTGGCGTTGCCCTGCGAGAAGGTTGCACTTTGGGACTCGGGTATGATGCGGGTGAGGTCAGGCGAGCCTCTGTGTGCAAACGGGTGGTGCTCCAAAGCCGGGGACGGTGAGGTGGAGGGCGGGCCGGAGGGGGTGGTGGCCGGAGTGGGCGGCAGAGGAGGAGGCGTGGAGTCCCTGAGACTGCTGCTGCTGCTGCTGCTGGTGGTGTGGGTGGTGGAGGTGGCGGGGGTGGACGAGGGAAGCTCTGGATTCTGGCTGAACAGCAGCAGCTCCTCGCGGGAGATCTTGCGGTACGGGGTGTCCGAGCCTGGTGTGCAGGGGTTGTGCAGCTGCTTGCGGCCCATGGAAGAGTTGAGAGAGTCTGTGTCGGAGCTGCACTCCTGAGCCGGTTCCCTGAAAGAGGAGAGCAGACGCACAGCGGTCACAACACAAGACGAGCAAACAAATTAGAGCAATGTGTGGTTTACTAAAGAAAAAAGAAAGAAAATGTCTTTGTTATTTTAATGTAGATAATTTGGCATGTAGGTCAGCGTGGACCTCTGTTTCAAGCTAAACTTTTACAGCTAACCAGAGAGCAAAATCAAAAAAATGATCACGTGAATAAAAGTGGCTCATTTAATGTCAACAGGTTTTGGTAGTTTGAATAACTGCACTTTTTTGTATTGAATTTATACAAAATAAACCAAAGCTTAAGCTGCAATTCTGTGGCCCTTTCTTCTTTGTCTGAATCTACTTTTAAGACGTTTATTATTTTCTAAATATGTTATGCATTATCAAATAACCACAAACTATTTTACAAAAAAAAAAAAAAGTTTAATTCCAGCAGAGAAGAACTGGTCGGGCCCTCGACATGTAATGAAAGTACAATGAACCCTCTTGCTTTGAGGTGACAATGCCAACCACTTCACAACTGTGCTGCCAATTTGGATATAAAAATCACTTCATCATTTTATCCTATGAGACATTTGTGTGAAATTTTGTCATAATGAGTCTATGAATTCTTGAGTTACAGCAAATAACATGGTTTGTGAGGTCACAGTGATACGCTGAATTTATGAAGAAAACTTTAACCTCCTAAGTGCACGAAGAATCCAAAAAGTGGGAGAATTCTTGAAGAATTGAAGTAAAAGTATCTCTGCCTGCACCAGTAGCTGATCAGTGTTATTTTGTGACTTTGGTGAATCCGAACTAACTCTTTAAAACATCAGAGTCACACAACACAAATGTTCAATGAGGTAAAATTAGTTTTTGTCAACATAGTCTAACTTCGAAGAGAGCATAGATAAGTTTCACTTTTAGTTCAGTTCCTCGTTGTAGTACTGAGCATACGACTGGATAAATGAGACTTAGATTATACTGCACGAGTTGTGTGAAAGTTTGTTACCAGATGTTTTGATATTGTTTTGGACACCTACGACTTCAGTTCATCATATTCAAGGTTATAATTCAACATACTATGAGGACAGTAGTTATTAGGATCTGGTACTAAAAGTTGGAGCTGTGAACACTGCAGTCTGATTGGTCAGTAGAGGACGGTCACTCTGCTCAGGGCTGAGTTGTGGCTGGTTTTGAGGCTCATGTAACCACTGTTCAGTTTTATTAGTGACCTGTAACTATAAAATGAAAGCATGTTTTGCTGCCTCTGACAGCAGCTGGAGTCTGAGAAAAAATAATTGAGTTCCCTGGGCCGACTGCCGGCGACTTTTAAGATGGAACGTTAACTTGTAATGTTACTCAATGCATGAGGTGACGACATGAATCCATCAGCACACCTTAAATTTCACTGTGACAACTTTGACCATCACTTTAGTTTTTATATGACATACACTTTTAGTAATGAGTGGATCTTCAAGCATTTATACATATATTAATTTAGACTGGGATGACATATATCCCAACCCTCACTCTGAGGAAAAAAAAATGTGTCATAGTGCGTTGTTCCTGTGGGCTACAGCAACACTAAACCCCTGAGCTTGCCTGAGAAGGACTGAATGCACAAACCTGCAATTTTTAAATATCCCACGGAGAGAGACTCTCACTGCAGCCTGATTTATTTTGTTCTGAAAATGTCTGTGTGCAGCCTCGTTCTGTGGACGATAAACAAGGTGCAGACTTCCATCTGTGCTGTGCGCATGGCGAAGAGGCAGACACAGGCGCTCACAGACTCGGGCTTACTATAAGCGGAGCGGACTACATGTAAAAATGTCCGTGAAAAATCCCCGCGATGTGAAAAATACATGCCGAACAGTCTTTTGTGTGACACTGGTGCGCGGAGCGAAGTCCGCGCGGTCGTGCTTTGCACGCACAGGGCTTGCGGACATCCACTTTTACCGGGCGGACCTCCGCGGCGTCCGCTCCGCATACGTTCTGCCCGAAAAAATAAAACCCGGTCCAAGACGGAGTACCGGACCGAATTGGTATTACCGAGAACCAACCCAACCCTAGCAGTGAGTGACAACAACTCCACCCACATGAAAGAGTATTGTTTTTGGTGGAAACACTAGGGTCTAGGTGACTGAAGGGTTACTTTTGGTTCCAAAGGTATCATACTGAAAGTGTTTGGTGGAAACGAGGCTTTTGAGTCCTAAAATCACGTGCTTGATTAACGTGCTAAACGCAGCCTATAACTTTAATTCATCAAGAATTTTCTCTGTTTTTGGATTCTTCGCTCACCAAAGACAACATGCGAATTTTCTTCCTGAATTCAAGGTAACACAAGGTGAGTAATTGAGATTTTGGGGGTGCAGTATTTCTTAAGTCGTCAAAATCTTGCTGGGTGTGTTCTTGTTTTACTAATTGTTTTTCCATTAGTTAATGGCCACTATTTGCCATGCATTTAACATGAACATGACTGTCTGAGTTTAGTCTTTGCTGACACATTAGTAAGGCGAACTGCGGGCAAAGTGCAGGAATTAAAGTGGACAGACGATCCACTTAATGAATCCACTATGTTAGACATGAACTAACTGTGGTGTATCATGTGCAGGTTGCGGTGGAGGTCATTCATGCACCCTCCACACGTTATGTGGCACCCGACAGCAAAAGGCACCTTTTAACCCCAAGATGAAAGCATCAGTGTGAATGTCTGGATAAAACACCTGTGAGTCCAAACTGTAAAACCATTCCGCGGCGTTCCGGCCACCGCTACATACCCCCTCCTATCCGAGCTGAACATGATATGTTCGTCGTCTGCCTCGGGGCGATAGGAGAGGGACGAGCTGGCCATGGACAGCAGGTCGGGGTCTGGAGACATCAGCGAGGACTGCGGAGAGCTCATCAGGCTCCTGCGGGAACGACACAGGCTGCTGCTGCGGGTCAGCGAGGGCCGGATCATCGTGCTCGCTGGGGAGATGTAGTGGAGGAGGAGATGGTGATATTAGAATATATTTCACTGCATTCTTTTTGCTTTAATTTAAAATCCTCTGTCGTCTTACTTGTGAACTGCGGAATGATGGGAGGCGTGTCCTCGTCCAGGTCGTCCACTCCTCCTGCGATGGGATAGGGAGGCACCGAGACTCGCGGCATGACCACCCAGCTGTGGTCTGAGTAGAGGCTGGCCGTCAGGCTCGGCAGCCCCGAGTTATTAACTACAGGGAAGTTGCAAAGCTTCTCAATCTGCTGCCAGCGGTGCAGCCGCTCCCTCAGGCACGCCGTCACCTCTGACAGGGCTTTCCTGAAAAACAAACAAACACACACACAGCTGAGTGAGCAGCGGAGTCCTGCACACTGATCGTACCTGGCAAACATGAGCGCGATCTTGTTCCTGATACTGATTAAATTCTCGTCACAGGCAGTGAGAAGCCGTCTTTGCTTTGAGTCGTCTGGATTTAGACAGTTTTGGCACAGCAGCCTGCTGGTTACACTGTGATATTGGACTTGTGCCTATTAAAGTGGTCACGCGGATGATTTGACTTTGTTCTCTTTTGTGAGATTTCCTTCCTTTTTGGCTTTAAAACACAAAGAAGTCTTTATCTCAGAGGCAGAGACTGGATTATACACGACTTGGAATAAAACTTTCATTGTCTACCTCAGAACTGTAACAGCAGTCTGTGGTCCAGTGTGTGTAGGAACATAACATAGTACAGTCAGATATTGTCACGGCTTTGTTTGTCATATTTAATTTGTGTGTGTGTTTGCGTGAGCTTCTTACTTTGCTTCTAGTATCTTGTGGTCCACCTCGTCCAGTGAGGAGCTGTGGGCGACATGAAGTGTTCCAAACACTGAACCTCTTTTCTTCTTTATTTTCTCTGCCTGAAAGTCGAGAACACACAAAAGATTCAAATATTATTCTGACTGAAATTATTAAAGCTGTGGGTCTTCAACGACACGTCCTCAGAGTTACTGTGAAACAACATGACCTTCATCCATTTAAAATGAACATGAGCTATTCTGAGGTCATTTTGGTAAAAGTAAGACAAAAGTTACAATATGTTTACATCTTGAGAGTAATTTGCCCAGCATTGATTGTATTTTATATATTTACCTGCGCATTGTAAAAACCTCAAAAAAGCATCAGTCTTTAAAATAACCTGAGTAAAGATGACTGTGTGACTGTGTGATGCCAAATAAAGGGGAGAAAAATGTAAAAAAATAAATAAATAAACAGCATAAATTGGGCACATTAATAAGAAAACCTATTTAAAAAATAAAACCATTAATTATATAAACTCTGCTGACCTTCTATAAAGAGATATGAGCCAGAATAAAACATACAGTCCTATTTATTATGCTCATATTAAACTACTGAAATAAAAAAAAGCTTGTTATCTGATGAGAACTGATTTCAAATTTCCTGATTCATATTTAACTTCCTGCGATACAGTTCTCTGTACTAGGTGTTATGATGAAGACGTGATACTATATTTTACTCTATAACTACTACAGTACTTCTACTCTAGGCCAGCCAGGCTGTGCTACACAGCTTTCAAACAACAGTGTGTGTCTCTGAGCCTCAGACTGAGCTCTCTGCAGCCCAGCACTAGTAGACTGGTGTTAACAGTAAACATGATTTACTGCTCTTTTACCATCTGGAGACGAAGAGGAACAGGAGATGAGACAGACACAGCTCTGTGTGCTTTACTTTGTGACAGGCTGTATAAAAGGGTGTAGGGTCTGATTTGGTTGGCTCCTGTCAGTATAAAAGTGTCCTCCAGCAGCTGTGTAAAGTGTCTCAGAGAGTCAAACCTAAGTTGAGGTGCGCTTTTACAATTTCACACGCTTTAATTAAAGTTTAAAAAGTAGCTGAAATCAAATGTATTCATTAAAAATTATTTTTCAAATCAGCTGTTTCGGTTTATGAACAAAATTAATTCAAATGTATGCAGTTCAGACCGTTCTGAATACACTGTAAATGTTTTTTTTAATACTAATAATACATGGCGTGTAACAAAAGTTCATCTCAAAATGGCAGCAATGCATCATCCACAGCCAGCTGGAATATTCCAAAAGAAAAAATTACAATCAGACTGACGCTCACTCGCATCGCATTCAGTTAGGACACGGTGTTAGAGCAAATTAAACAAAACAAATAAAGTTATCCCTTCAAATTATCTATTAGTAAAGACAGTAACGGTGTTCAGAATGCCACCAATTTAAACTGTTGCTGTATGGGAATACAGTTACTCATATTTTGTATGTTAGAAATATAACTTGGTCACTTGTACTTTATTAAACCTGGTGTTCAGTAACTGTAATGTTCAGCTTTATGCCGATGATACTGTCATAAATACATCTAAACCGGATTTACTACAACTTCAAACTTCTCTTCAATCTGATTTCTGTTTCCTACAAGATTGGCTTTCACATAATAAATATTTACTCAATAAAACAACTATAATATGATCTTTGGTACTAGACAAAAGCTTAAATCAAAAACAGGCTCCTGCGTAATAACATGTAAAAATGGCACTCGTCTGCATAAAGTTGACAAAATCAAATATCTTGGTGTATATCTTGACCCTGAATTCAAAGCACATATTGATTATGTTTTACGTAAAGTCAATTTTGGAAGTAATAATTTATATCAGTCACATAACTGCTTTACAGATAATGTTCATTAAAAACTTGCCTCTCAACTAATTCTTCCAATATTGGACTACTTTATCAAAACACGTGGCGATATCTTTGGTGGTGGCTCGCCATCAAAGACAGCCTGGGATAAAATTCTTACCACAAACGTCTACTAACCAACCAATAGAAATGCAGCAAGAAATGACGCACTGACACTAAACCCAAACAAGCAGACAGATAGCAGCTCGTCATGGAGGCCAAACATGCTGAAAGAAATGTGTGGGATTCCAGCAAAGAGGAAAACCTTGTGTAGTTGTGGCAGCAGAGGACTTTCCTGTATGAAGTGTCCTCCAGCTCGTACTATGATCACGTAAAGAAGGATGAAGCACGGAAGGAAACAGCGGTGGAGTTGTAGCTGCAGTTTATGGTGCCCACAGAACTTTAGGTTATTTAATAATGTGACCCTCTATGTTGTGCTTCAGTTGGAGAAGTAATAACCCCTGCAGCATCATTTGGCACGCAATATGGGATGCTATTGCATCGTATGTTGTAACCTGTGATTCAGTAGGCGCTGTCATCGTACAGTCTGCATACATCAAACTTGACGTCGTACCCAAGTTTATTAGATCCATGTCACACAGTGTCGCTGCACTAAACTTATAAGACTGCTGAACTCTCTCTGTAGGACGCTTTACTCCTCAACGCTGGTTACTGGCGTTGCAAAGGGCAAATTTGCAAATCTGAGTGGTTTTCAATATGAGACTCAAAAGATTCAAGTGTCATGTCTAATAACCCAATAAATGAAGTTACCTCGTCTTTGGCGACGCACAGCTGAAACTCAGCGCTCTGTTTCTTGATGTTGTAGTACTGAACCTCCACCTCGTGTGTGAGCTGGAGCCACTTCTGCAGAGCTTCAGGCACCGACCGCTCCGACTGCATCTCCTTCTCCGCTCGCTTCAGGGCCTTCCGCACCTGCAGGACGGGAACATGATGCATCAGGGTCCAGAGTCGGGTTAAAGTCACTGTCAAATATTTAAAAACTCCTTCCACAAGATCATCGATCAAACGCTGTAAGTGAGGATGAATTTCAGATGAACTGCATTAACTGTGTGAAAATGAGTCTGAGTGGAGAACTCATTACGGAGAGGAACTCTGAGATATATTGCTGCTGTATTTTTTATGTGAGGGGAAATGGGGAAATATTGTGGTTACTTTGTGAAACTTAACAAGAAGAATATGAATTAATCTTTTCATTTCAAGGTGTTTTATCAGCAGTATTGAATACATTTACATTTATATCGGTGACTACACCAGCCATTTGAGTAGAATATGTAAATATTGTGCATTTAAACATTTGAATAGTGATGAATCTGTTTTCCATTCAAGGCCAGTAGGCAGTCAGGGAAGGCCTACCTGTACCAGCTCTTCTTCGGCGTATTTGAGGCGGCTGAGTTCACATTCGGCGCCCTCTCGCAGCTCTCGAAGTCTGTGAGCCTCCGTTTTGGCTCCGTTGATCTCGTCCCGCATTTTCTGCTCGAGGTTCTGCTTCTCCACGGCCACCGTCCGGTTCTCCTCCTGAGCTTTTTCCAGCCTGGAGATAGACAAAATATAGATTTAGTTACATATTGAAGGAATACTACAAGTTAGCTGCTAACTGCTACTCCCTGCTTTTTAAAATTCCGGCGGTGGGTTGCAAACATAACATGTTGTCAAAACATCAGCTGCCAGCTGTCCTTTGTACACAGACGCCTATTTGGCACTGTTAATACCTCCACTGCCAGCTTAGGTCAAGACAACTCTGTCCCCACATTCTGGGATCGCACCTTTTAAGCCCAGTTCAAAACCAAAGATTCAAAACGAGACAAGTTGATACAGGCGACTACCTGCAATGTGTCGTTCTGCAACGTTCTAACAACCTGCGGTTCACACCAATGCAACTAGATGAGATGGTGTATCATCTCTATGCAACAACTCTGTACTTCTGTTCTGATTTGCAGCTTTTCAGGCTCATTTTGTGGCTGAATATAATTTGTAGCTTCTTAAAATATGAATGAGGATAGTGATAGGCGAGATACTGGCTACTACTGCATTTGTAGCAGTGATGAAACGGCAAAAAACAAAAACAAAGTGAACATCAGATGGACTGTATTCATAATAAATACGGCAGTAAGCAGCGCCTATTAATCGGTCAATGAGAATGTGTGTGTGGGCGCGGCATAAGCACATACAGCAGGCAGCAGCAGCGACCCACCGTCTGACACCGGCACACCGTGAGGACGGAAACAGGGGTTGGTGGGAACGAAGCACCTGCCACAGTGCTGCTATTTGCTGTCATTTTGACTTGACTAGTGGACTTCACTACAAGCTGATTGGCTGTAGAAACAAGTGACGTGCTTTAAGTTCTAAAACATGCTGCTGGTGATTTGACCAGCCGAGTTGCAGGTGACACCATCAGCCGGCTTGAGTCGAGCTCAGATGGCTAGTTCACACCGCTGCAACTTTTCTCTGCAACGTTCTAAAACGCTTTGGTCTCGTTGCAAATCTTTGGTTTGAACTGGGCTTTAAACAGAACAGCGAGGTGGAATAACAGCACGACACATCCGCCTTGAAGAGGCACTGTGAAATGGGCTATTGTTTGACTTTGGCAAATCAAACTAACCCTTTAAAACACCAAATTCTCACACTAAGACAAACAAACTAATCGATAGAGGCAGCAGTGGACCGGCAGCTCCTGCGTTCAGCGAAGTAAAATTAATGTTTTTCTTGATGGAGTCTGGCTTTGAAGAGAGCATAGATAAGTTTCACATGTAGTTCAGTTCCCTGTAGAAAGGTCTGTCTGTTTGGGTAATATTGAGCATATGAGAATATAAATGAGACTATACTGCATGAGTTGTGTGAGAGATTGCAGACAGATGTTTTGATATAGTTTTGCTGTTGTTTAACGTGGGCCCCTGTAACTTCAGTTCATCAAGAATTTTCTCTGCGTTTGGATTCTTCGTTCATCACGGAGACATGTGAGAAAATAACGTTTTCTTCACGAATTCAATGTAACACTGGGTGAGTAATTCATATACAAATGCTCATTTGTGGAAGTTAAAGCATTCCTTTAACACACACGATTACACACCGGATGAAAGAAGCTAATAAAGTGAAACCTTAAGGTCCATGTCGTCCCTTATCTCATTCCTTCTCTTACCGACTCTGCAGGTCTAAGAGGCTTTGCTCAGCATTCTGCAGACTCTCCAGATCCTTCATCATCTTGGAGATGTGCACCTTGCTGGACTTGTTCTGCACATAAGCAAACCAGCAGCCCCCGACGCCGATCACTATGGAAACCATAAGGACAAAGTCCTTCATCCAGTTATGTTGTGGACCTGCACAGGGAGGAAGAAGACGGGTGGCTTTAGAATATACTGCATACTTTTTAACCTACTCAGTGATGGTGTAGTTGACACGTTTTTGCTTTTAAAGCACATTGCATACTTACGGAGAGGAGGGCCAAAAAGCACTGCGTCGAGTGCCTTTAGGTTTAGTTTTTGTTTATGCCGCTGGTCTAATATCTTCAGCTGCATCGACATAAACGACGGTTCATTTGCCGCTATTCTGGAATATGGAGAAAAAGAAAAATAGACATTGAATACAGAGAAGCTTTCTACACAGTCACATGTCAACTATTTCAATGTCCAGTCTGCATTTCATTTGACATATCTGTCATATTTGTTTGTGTTTTTGACTCCTTAGCATTTAAAATGTGTCATAAGAGAAAAATGTGACTTTAGTGTCTGACAGGGGTCGGCAGACTTTTCTGTCTGAGGAGCCATTTTTGGAGCTGCAAAATGAGACAGACTGACAGATGGACAGACGAGAAAACATAACACCACGAATAGAGCAATATATGAGTACACCAATATATATCTGGATTTTATTGGCAATCACAATGATGATTGAACTTTTGCAGTTTTAGGGGAGTAAAATGATTGCACCCCTGACTGATAACTGCAGTCAGGGGTGCAGCAATTTTCATTTCATTAAGGTATTAACATGAGTGATGGTAGAATGGAGCGTGGGATTGATTGGTAGTTTGGTGCGACTTTTGCGCCAGACATTCGTGGTGAAGAGGGAGCTGAGCCAGAAGGTGAAGCTTTCGATTAATTGGTCCATCTACGTCCCAACCCTCACCTATGGTCATGAGCTCTGGGTAGTGACCGAAAGAATGAGGTCGCGGATACAAGTGGCTGAAATGAGGTTCCTCCGTGGGGTGACTGGGCTCAGCCTTAGAGATAGGGTGAGGAGCTCGGACATCTGGAGGGAGCTCGGAGGAGAGCCGCTGCTCTACTGGTGGTGATGGTTTGTTACACAGACTCGTAAACTGTTTGGGAAAGGGCAGGCACTTTCCAAAAATACCTGGCAGGTGACTGATGAACCATTTGTCTATCACCGTATTTCAAGGACCAGTCAGGAGAAGAGCGAAAACATTTCCCATCGAGAAAAGCCTTCAGTGGCATTCTTTGCTGAAGAAGTTCGCCTCTCCATGTCATCACACACACTTAAACCACGCCTGTAGCTGCCAGGAGCTCCACCACTGGTGGTGCAGACACAAACGCACTACTTGAAGCCTGTGTTGTGTCTTGTGTCATCTCATGATGTCAGGCGAATCCAGCTGCTGTGGTGCAGCGAAGAAAGATCTGACGCCAGACTGATTTTGACTCGTTGCACGTTGAAGCACATAAGAAGTGTCTATGCTGCTGAACTTGAAGGGAAACAATTTACAGGAGTGTATTCATCCAGGAGGAGAAAGTGTAGATGTGAGAAAATAACATCATTTCAGCCTAATGAAAATATCAGTGACTAATGAGTTATGAAAAATAAATTTAAGTGTTTTTGTTATCTGAACTATGAAGATGTCTCACTGTCCACCACCATCTTAAAGGCTCAGACAACATGGCAGCCTGTGGAAACTGTACCCCCTCGCTGTGACATCACTTCATGAGTCAGCGCCCATCAGCCCCGTGGCGTAACCTGAAACCCCTCGATAACCCCGCCGCCCACCCCTCTGTCTACTCATGCCGTACATGCAGTTTGCAGCGGGTCACATTCCACAAGTGTCCCTCCGACGTCTGAGTCTTTCCTGTCATGTCGGCAGATCACTTTGTTAACAATTTCATTTTTACTGTGAATATTTGATGTGCTTTGTGCTTTTTAAAGACAAAACTGTGACATTTTATGTGTAATGAAGTCAACCACATCACTCTGAATTAAAAAAAAATACAGATTGTAATGATTTAAGATCATGACCACAAGTGATCTTAAGACAAACTAGAAGCCAACCTCGGCAACAGAGGAACAAAGACACTGAGGAAAGAATCCACCTGCCTCTTCCCTCCCTGTGTTACCTTCTATCACCAGCAGTGGGCAGCATTAAACAGAGTAATGAAACCTACATCTGCCTCTGGGTACTGTAGCAAAGATCATAATGGTGTTGCAGTTCATAAACACTCTTCACTGCTCACCGTCGGCGAAACAAAACATCTTAATTAGAGCAACATCTGCCTTGAACCGTAATAGTGATCTTTTTATCTTGTTAACAGCGTCACTGAGGGAGAACAGGGGCGCTCTGCTCCTGAGAGCAATGGAGTGGGTGACACTTTGTGAGAGGTGAGCGGTACCAACCGAGGTAAAGTGTTCCCCGTGACCCGGAAGTCCCGGAAGTTCTTCTCGTACTGCGGCAGCTCCACCGACTCCTTCAGCCACTGCACTGAGTCCTCCACGGTCCAGTTGTGGACTGAATGAGGAGAGAGAAGAGGGACAAGGTGAAGGTTACTTTTCAGCTCTCAGCAGATGCTTTTATCAAGAGAAACTTACAGAGTAAAAGAAGGTCAGGAATAAAAAGTAGTGGAAAAAATAATAAGGTCCTTTACAGCATTGCTACAAGGGTAACCTGGACTTGTTTGCACCATCAATTTATGTCCATTCAAAATGTTTGTTTTTGCCACTGACAGGCTCTGATTGTTATTCTAAGGGCCTGTCCCATTTCTACCCCTTAAATCTTCCACTTGGTATTGAGTGCCCTCGTTTGCGAGATAACCCTTGATGAGGGAAGTGAGAAATATTAGGGTAGAGATCTATCCTTAAGAAATGGGACGCATATGTCATACGTAGTAGCGACGCGATGAAAATGCTGGCTCCAGCGCTTGTGTTGTGGCGTGTGCTATGTCTATTCTTCTCCGTCTGATGAATCAACGGAGATGAAATGCTGAAAACAGGAGGCTCCTACGACGTCTTCTAGTTTTGATCGTTTTTGTTCGGGTAAGTCAGTTTCTTTAAATATTTTGATGCCGTGTTCAACCGAGATGAGTTTACACTAGTCCAACCATCTGTTGTTTGTCTAGCCCACATTCCGATCGCAAACAAATTGTTCTCCAAAACTTGCCGACGTTGCTGACTTCATCTTCCACTTTGTTGAAAGTGTGGGTTGGGGCTCCCTTGGAATCTAGGGTGGATTTTTAGTGTTGGAAACCACTTCCACTACCTCAATTCTGTTTTGGGACACCACTAGCCTAAATGTGAACGCGCAAAGGGCAAGCGGGTATTTCTCGGGGAAGTGTGGGTATTGGGACAGGCCCCAAAGTGTCCAACATTATGGAAAGGATCCCTACAGAGATAGACCTTTTTGTTAAAGAGAAAAATCCTTTTTGTTTAACCAGAAACAGCCCTGACATCGCAATCACCCAACCCACCAGACTCCATTTAAAAAACAGTGATTTTAGCGTGTATTTAGCCAGAATATTTTCACATCTAACTGGGTGAATTAAGGGTTTATTTCAACTAAACCAGAGACGGTGATTGTTGAACAGACGAACCAAGATGGCTTTCTGCAAGGACACTGCATTTGTACATGGTCCTGCTCTACCCACTTATCTACTGGGCGCCCCAAAAGGATGTCACCCTTTAACAAAAAGGTCTATCTCTGTCAGGATCCTTTCCATAATGTTGTCAGACACTTAAAACAATCTGAGCCTGTCAGTGTCAAACATAAGCACTTTTAGTGGACGTAAATTGCCCACTGACATTATATTGCAGCCTGTTTCACTGTTGCCATCTGCAGCCCCCCTCACTCAATCCTGGACCAGTTTCATGGACCAGCACTTGTATAGCGGCTTTCTAGTCTTGGGACCAGTCAAAGTGCTTTGTACACTATGAGTCACATTCACCCGTTCACACACACATTCACACACTGGTGGCCAAGGCTACCATACAAGGTGCCACCTGCTACTCAGATTGTAACACACTCATACACCAAAGGAACAGCCATCAGGAGCAATTCAGGGGCCAGTATCTTGCTCAAGGATACTTCCTGGATACTACCTCCTGAGCCACAACTGGCCTTGACATATATGTATGTGATATGTGCACAGGGGAAATATAAAAGCAAAAGTCTGGCAGGGCCGTACTGGATATTAAACCTCATTGTATTGATAAAGGCATGACAGGACTCCATCGTACAGTAAAGACGGATGTTTGTAATCTAAAGAGTATGTAATTTGTTCCATCTGATAGAGGTCCCAGACTTTCTGGATCCATGTACTGTGTGTGGGAGGGTCTGGTTTCAGCCATCTGATGGTTATACACTTTAAGTCTGCTTTAAGTAAGAGGTATTTCTTGAATTTCAGGGATAACTTGTGAAATATCTTGTTGAAAAAACTCTCTAAGGACATCAAATATAACTCTCTCCAGTAGAAACCCAACTTCGGACATTGCCAGTATATGGGTATGACTGGCATACCTACTTGTTGTTTTTTTTGGCCGTTTACAGCATACCCATCTATCAGCCAAAGAGAGTTACCTACATCTGCCTCGGTACCTACCCATCTACCTGGTAGCACCCACCTCATTGACTACCAGTACACCACTGGTTTACTTCTTTATTTAAATTTACTCAATACACTTAGAATTTCGTGTCTTCCGTCATGTTGCTTCCCTTGAACCAGGGCCGTATCACCTGATTAGAAAATGCATTCTATAAATCATTTACTATGAAGTACATCAAATGTTCATAATGACACTCGTGTGGGTATTTAATTCGAACGCAGAGGAAGCACTAGTCCACGTTATAAACTTGTTCCAAAACCACTTAGCTCCGCACATATTTCCAGAGTGAAACACAAACAGTGGCACATACAGGCTGAGAGTGACAGATTGGTGGGGGTGTGTTTGAAGATAAACCACAGATGTGTAGAAAAAAACAGAAGAGGACCTCGGGTCAAAATTCGTCCCCATCTGAAATTCAAATAAGAGACGAAGAAGAAGAACGAAGAAGAGGGAGTGGAGGAAACATCTTTTTGAAGATGTTTTAATTGCAGTAATATGATTTGTGTGATCGAGATGAAAATGAAAGACACTTGCCCCTGAGCTGAGGAATAATTAAAATAATAGCAGTAAGTGATTCAAACGGCGCAGATGGGCTCCTTGAACAAATAAACCCTTGAACATAAATGAGCGCCTGCACACTTTTACTTACTTTTATATCGCCAGATATTCAGTTACACATTCTGCAGAGAATAGCTCACACACTTCACTCTGGGAAAAGATGCCCCTGAGTGTACATCAGTGTTCACAGCCTTCTGCAGCCTCTGAAGTCCACTTGAGTTTTCAGACAATTGGAAAGTCACTTGAGGTGCAACGAGGATTCTGCCGAAGAGATAGCGGAGGGTTGTTTCCTTGTTAAACTTGTCTCACCTGTGATTACTTAGTAGAAACCACACCTGAGTCATGTGATTTGATGTGTTTGTATAGTAAAGTATGTCACTTGCTCTTTTTGCAGCCTGAAAGAGAAAAGACGGGACTGCCACGTCGCTTTGAATAAATTATTCTTTGCTTTTATTTCATTTATGTTTTTATTCCTTAAGATTTTGTTTTCTCTTCAAATTATTGAATTATTTTTCTGCACTGTTTTGCTTCATTGATGTATTGTAAAGCACCGCAAATACAGTTATTTGTAGGTATCACACCCATGATGGCACCCAGTGTGTATCCTCTAAGGCAGTGGTTCCCAACTGGTGGGTCCCGGTCCATTCTGAATGGACCGCAAGTGACTCGCAAGCATGTCAAGTTTGTAAAAAACACTCTTTATTTTGAAGTACAGTGAATTTCTGGTACAGAGTTTTTATTTTGAAGTGCTGTTTCCCGCTGTAGACTCATTGACAAACGGACAGCTACTTAACAGAGACGGCGACATGGCCAAATGCAAGTATGACGCTGAATGTATTAAACTGTGTTGACCTTGAACTAATGTATAAGGAGAAATCTGGACCCTGTGGCTGGGCCAGTTGGGAACCACTGATCTAAAGTCCACTGAGATTTAAGTTGGTAGAGAAATTTCCTCTTAATTCATGCTTGTGTTGGATTCTTCCCAATTAAAAGTAACACTTCACACCCCAAATGATCATTTGTATATTAATTACTCACTCCATGTTACGCTGAATTTGTAGTGAAAAAGTTTTTCTTGCATGCCTCCATGACGAAGAAGAATCCAAAAACAGAAAAAAATCTTGATGAATTGTAGTCACAGGGGTCCACGTTTAACAACAGCAAAACTATTATTATCTATATCATCTGTTATATCTGTTTACAAACTCTCACACAACTCGTGCAGTATAATCCGAGTCTCATTTATCCAGTCATATGCTCAGTACTTGACAAACAGTCCTCTCTGATAAAGAACTGAATTACACTCTCATCAAAGCCAAACTCCATTGACAAAAACAGTAATTTTACCTCACTGAACACAGGAGCTGCTGGTCTACTGCTGCCTTGATCAGTTAGTTTGTTTGTGTTATTGTGTGACTTTGGAGTTATAAAGGGTTTGTTTGGACTCACCAAAGTCACACAATAACACAAACAAACTAACTGATCAAGGCAGCAGTAGACCAGCAGCCCCTGTGTTCAGTGAGGTAAAATTACTGTTTTTGTCAATGGAGTCTGGCTTTGAAAAGAGCACAGGTAGGTTTCACTCTCTGTTCAGTTTCCTGTCAAAAAGGCATACGACTGGATAAATGAGACTTGGATTGTACGAGTTGTGTGAGAATTTGTAAACGGATGGTTTAATAAATCAGCAAAACACACTGGCTGGTGAATTAAATAACACTGTTTTTTGTTGTTATACTATATTGTGCTGGGAAACCTTCGTTCCTGGCATTCATGTGGATGCCACCCAAAAACCGGTCGACTTTCTCGTGCATGCCTAGTGACTGGAACCGTAATGCGCATGTGCAAAAAGTCGCTGTTTTCAGAGGAACTGCATATTGCAAGTTTACATGACAATGGAGACGGTGCTGTTTCCAAAAATGTTTTCAAAACGCCGCAGTCGTATAAATGATCAGCCAAAACGCAACTACAGTTTACCATTTTCAGTTGAAATCGTTGTCGTATAAATGGGACCCTGGCTGAACCGAACCCAACAGGGCAGGTGTGAAAGCACCCTAAATGTGAGTTCATATCATCAGCTTTCTTACAATAATCCTCCTTCTGTCTACACCTGTGGTATTTCTTCCTACTTGATTAGAACAACTGCCGACAGGACAGTGATTGTGGAGGTGTTTGTGTAGGTGACCTTCACAGTCACGTCTCATGCATTACCTTCAGAGGTCTTCCAGCCCTTCCACAGCTCCTCCACAGTGATGTGCTGGTCTTCACGGTGCAGGTTGCTGTGTTTGTTGGTTTGCTGCTGCTTCATGTCTTCTATTATAAACTAGAAAACAAAGACAGGCAGAATTGAGTTTCAGAAACATCACAGAACATATCGTTTTGTTGGTTTACAGTGAGTATTTCTTTTTTACTAAGTACTCTGGGGGAGATACAGACGGCTGTGCCTGTCTGTGTATGTCCATGTGTGGTTCTGACAGAGAGCTGTAGAGAGTTGGCTTTGCCTAATAGTCGGCTTTGGATCACACACGCACACACACACACTTTCTTTTCGCTCTCCTTTCTTCCTTTTAGGGACTTTGATAAGAGAAAGAGACCACTTCCACCTGTGTGTGCATGCGTGAGTGTGCTTTCAGTGTCCGGCTGTCCTCCTTTGGTCGCTCAGAAGTAAATGCCCCTGCGGAGAAAGCCATGCCACCACAAACCCTCCGAGGGATACCCAGCGTTAACAACAAGGGAAAGGACGTGTATGTGTGTGTTGCTTTGGCATACACTAAAAACGTAACAGCTCCTGTCTGATTGAAACACCCCACCTGCTTTAGATAACTAATAAGCTTTTGATATTACTGCAGTGAGGTATCATGTTATTCTGCTGAAGGGTAATTACCTTCAACGTATTATCTGTACTGCAGAGTCATCATCCAGCTGGTGTCTTTCCATGATAAGTACTCAAAAATACACATAAGGTACAGATTTAGCTGCTTTAGTCGAGACACCAATGTTACATTCAGCTCTCATACTACTAATGTATGTCAGTAAGACCTGATGTGACCTGCCTTAACCCTCGAGTGTGTTCCTGTTACTTCAAAAAAAAAAATCTAATTCAGTAAAATTACTACATTCATGTGGTTTGCCACTACATTTCCAACTACTTCTCAAAGCTAAACGGCAACCAGGAAACTATTTATACTGTAACTGGATGGTTGAGTTTTAGGCTAATGCTAAGTAAGCTAGCTACTATAGTGAAGTTTAGCTTCTTAACTCTATGTTAAGGAGTGATTAGGGCTGGGTATCGTCACTGATTTCCTGAAACGATTTGGTTTCAATTCACAAGGTCCCAATTCGATTCGATTTAATTGGGGATAGTCCAGTTGCAATACCAATTTTTGCTACGATGTGAAAGAGATTCTCAGAGATGTTCAGATTATTGTAAATTTCACAGGGAATTATTTTTTTTAATTTACTAAATAACTAAATGTTGTCACTGGAAACAAATCAAAAAAGGCAATACAATAAACTATGTTCCTGAAATCACAATACTGAGTAAAGTTTCGAAAGAATAACTAAACAAATCGGGTTGTTAAAATAAAGATCAATTTCAGGTGAACTGATTATTTTAACCCAGCCCTAGGAGTGATTAGCCTAAATTGAAATTTTTTTTTTTTTGGTGGTGGTTTTTGCCTTTGTTGAACAAGAGAGTTGAAGTGACGAATGGGATAAGGAAATGCCTTTGCGGAGTAAATTCTGACGTAAAGAACATTTGACTAACGTGACTAATCTGCCTCATTTATTTGCTTCAAACCAGCTGATGGAAATATGTCTAATTTGCAGTTTTTTATCTGCGACATTTCAAAGGTTTGCTTAAAATTTGCTTGACAACTGAACAGAAACAGGGCTTTTGACTGAAAAGATTCCGGTTACTTTATACACATGTTCACAGTCATGTAACTTTTCATTGTAGCAGCAGTCCATTAAGTTTTAGTCCTAGTGTGTGCTAAGTACAGCGCTGTAGCCAGAATTAAGTTAGCTTCGTTAGTGTTTCTTTTTTGTATGGTTTCAACAAACAAACAATATACATTTCAAAGTTCTGTACACTATGTATTTCTTGTGTAGTGTACAGATTTCAACAGGGTAGTGTTGATTTATATCACGCACTGCTGTTTTGCACTTACAGGAAGTGATGACGGCTTTTTTTTTTTTTACCACCTCTTCTTCTTCATTGTCTTCTTTTTAAACAGCCAATTGCCCACATTCAACATTCGCCAACATTTGACCAAATCTTGTATCACAACATCAATGCTAATTAAAATGCGCTGCTGTAGCTAGGAGCGAGGTAGCTAGCTGGGGAACGTTAGCTAGCAAGCTAACGTTAGCACTCGCATTATTGTTGGTGATACCAAATCATTACAGACCTGACAAACATTACTGACGGCTTCTATTTGGCAAAAGTATTGGTACTTAGTGCGGAAAAAAAACCATGTATAACTAACAGGCTCCTTGTCGTCCCCAGCCGCCATGTCAAAAGTTGAGAAGTTTGCTACTTCACAAAGACCATTTTGAATGTGCCATTAGGACACTGCATTTTTCCGTACTATGTGGTGTGAATGGACTTAGCGCACTTGGGCACTCAAAATATTAAGTGTTTAGTAAAGAAATACGCAATTGGTGTCTCAAATCACATACTTCTGTTAGTACACTTCTATGTAGTATACTATGTGCACTATGTACTCATTGGCTTAGTGCACAAATTTCAACAGGTTAGTGTTGTCTCAAACCAAACATGGCCGCTGTGCACTCCCCAGAAATGACGACTGCAAGTTAGCTAGTTAGCAAACTAGCATTAGCATTTGTGTTATCGTTCGCGGTACCAAATCATTACAGACTGCTAAATTAACCCAATAAACATACTGCTGGCTTATACCTGACAACAGTATAGCGGTGCTTAGTGCAAAAAACACATGTATTTGTACAATGCAGCGACTTTCATGGTCGCATAGTCCTCGGCCGTCATTTCCAGTTCCTCAACTTCTTGACCGTTTTGAGTGCATAATCTGGGTACTCATAGTGCACTGCATTTTTCCATACTTCTCAGTGTGAACGCACTTATGCACTCAAAATATTAAGTGTATCAATTCAGAAAAATACAAGCAGAACTTTTTTTCCATGCTGAGATCATAATCTTGATATTTCAGAATTTTTTTGGAAAACTTTCTCAGAATTCTGAAATGAAAATTTTGTTAATTCAGATCAACGAAAATTTCCGGGATTATTTTCTCGTAAATTAAAAAAGTCAGGAGAAGAATTATTCTCAAGGTTATAATCTTGTTGAGTCAGAAAAGCTAGTGGAACTTTCTTGTCATGAAAACTTTGCTCAGAATTCTGATATGATAATCTCATTTATTCAGAAAAACGAGAATTTACAGGACTATTGTCTTGTTGATTCTGAGAATGAGCAGTGTTTTATTTTTCATAAAAACTTTTCTCAGAATTCCGAGATAATAATTTCATTGATTTAGAAAGACAATAATTTGTGAATTTATTATCTTGTTAATTAAAAAATAAGCAGACTTTTTTTTATGAAAACCTTTCTCAGATTTCTGTAATGAAAATTTTGATAATTCAGATAAACAAGAGTATTTTCTCAAAAATTAACAAATTTTTTTAAATGAAAATTTATGTTAGAATTTCGATGTACTAATCTCATTAATTTAGAAAAATGTGTAGAATTTTCTTGTCATGAAATCTTGCTCAGAATTCGAAGATAATAATCGTGTTAATTCCAAAAAAACAAGATTTTTTAGGATTATTACCCATTAATTCAGAAAAACAAGCAGAATTGTTTTTCATGCTGATGATAATCTCATTAATTTACAAAAACAAACGGGAATAATTTTTTGCCATGAAAACCTTTCTTATAAATCGAAGATACTAATCTTATTAATTCAGAAAAACAAAAGTTCACAAGATTATCAAGTTAATTCATCTTGCTTTTGTATTTTGTATTTCAAACAAGAAAAGCGGAGTTGAAATATTCATCAACTCACATCTTAACTCTGATGATAATATTTTAACCAAATTTCCTCAGTTTGACTTAAGGTGAGATGACAGATGTCTCACTATTTGAGAATAAAGTGAAGCTGGTTTAAATAATTAACAGACATTTAAAACAATTTTTTTTCCTTTCATGGCCTGAAAGAGAAATTTTCATTCCTCAGGCCTTTTATATTCTTGCTCGTGTGCTCTGGCAAACGTCCTTGAAGTTTGCATCTCTGCCAGCAGGACTCGTTTCTCATAAAGTACAGTGAGCATTAAAGGCTTTGCAAGACATTTGTTTGGACTAGTATTGCACACATTGTGGTGCCTCCAGTGACTCAGCAGACAGTTGGTTCCTTTAGTTGGTTCCTGGCTTTATGTCAGTGAGAAAACTCATTTGCATTTGTATTGAGTGAGACGAAGGGTAAAAAAAAAACACTGTCCAAAGTTTTCAGGCCCCTCAGAGTATTTCGTCCCCTGCTGATTTGTGAAAGGGCTTTTCAGACCCATATGGGGACCCGAGGAAACCCTTTGGCACAAGTGAACACAGAGTACAGCAACAACTTACTGCAAGATTATTTAGGTTCAATATAAAACTGTAGTTTCTACAACCCTGATGCTGTAGCTATCAGAGTGGAAGTCTCCTCAGTCTAAGTCTAATGAATCTTGTATGACATAGTTTATATCCTTTGTCTTTTTAGCTATGATAGCAGAGTTAGTCAGTTCAACACTGCCACAGCAGGTTGACATTTGTAGTTTTGAGTAACATGTTGGGACAGCCACTGAATAGATCATTATGACATTTATTAAACACGTTCATGTCCCCTCAAGATGAATTGTCTTAACTTTGGTCTTCTTTTGCCATCAGGTCACAGTTTAATTTTTTCGCCTAAGAGTTTTCCTTGTTGACCAATAGTCATCATTTAGGGCCATTAGTCGACTAGTTAACACTGTGCTACATCAGAGAGAAATACAAAACCGTACTAATGAACCTTCATTAATATAGGCCTATATTTTATCTTCAAGTGCACGTCACACACTGAGCGAGCCGCCTGTTAATGACGCTGTGGGCTAATGGGCATGTAGCTACTTCCATGTTTCAGATGATACGTCATGTTTGTAGTCGACCAATGAAGATGAGTTTACATATCACCTTGGGTTCGTCCTTCACCTTCTCAAAATGATCCCACACTTTGGATTTCCTGCCCGACATGTTATTAACTAGCCTGTGGAATAACCGCAGGTACCAGCCCTGGAGATTAACCTGACTCCTGTCTGACTGCTGAGCGAGGC